CCAAGCTTAGTTAGCACGAACTGCCCCTCTTAGTCAGCCACGTGCTTTTCGGAACAATAAAGCCGAATCCGAATTGAACCTCACTATATCACGTGTAGCACTAGCACCAAAAGCAGACTAGCGTGGTAGCTCTTGCATCGGCCCGAATCAATCTTATCACTACATTCCACTTCTACCTCAGCTAAAGTACTCTCTCTCTCTGTAACCTTCTATTCATCCCCACAAACCACAGATACATACACCTCCCAAAGGGGACAGGCAAAAAGCATCATGGCCACCCCAATTCGGCCCTCCACCCCCACCCGCACCACCACCCTCCTCACCAACCTCGCAACCGTAACAGCCCGCATCAACACCGCAACCACCTCGTCTCCAAAGTCCACCCCGCCCCGCCTCGTCGCCGTCTCCAAACTCAAACCCGCCAGCGACATCCTCACCCTCCACACCAACCCATCCGCTCACCAAACCCACTTCGGCGAAAACTACCTCCAAGAACTCCAAGAGAAAGCCCGTCTCCTCCCCACTACCATCAAATGGCACTTCATCGGCGGCCTCCAGAGCAACAAATGCGTGACTCTTGCGCGGGATACCCCCGCGCTCTGGGCCGTCGAGAGCGTAGATAGTACCAAGAAGGCGTCGTTGCTGGATAAAGGGTGGGGGGAGAGGAGTGCTGAGGTAAAGGAGACGAATCATGAGGAGAGGTTGCGGGTGTTCGTGCAGGTGAATACCTCGGGGGAGGCGAATAAGAGTGGGGTGGAGCCGGGCGATGGCGCGCTGGAATTGTGTCGCTTTATTAGGGATAAGTGTCCCCGGTTGCGGTTGCAGGGAGTTATGACCATCGGGGCCATTGCCAGGTCGAAGGCCACGACGCCGGACAACGAGAATGAGGATTTTGTGTGTTTGAGGGAGACGAGGGATCGGGTGGTCAAGGAGCTGGGGTTGCTCGGGGAGGAAGCCGCGTTGGAATTGAGTATGGGTATGAGTGAGGATTTCGAGGGCGCTATTGCTCTGGGTAGTGATGAGGTCCGCGTTGGGACCACTATCTTTGGGGATAGGCCGCCTAAGGATCAGGCCAGGGTGGTTTGAGTTCATTTCCAACAGGGGTTACGATTCACGACCTGTTTTATATGCATCACCATCATACGTCTTTCTGGGATGATGAAAAAGAGATGGAAGAGGAAGGGGGTAAAAAAAACAAGACAGTAACTTCGACTGCTGCCTGTACATTAAGATGAAAGAAAAGAACAAGCGTCCCGCATGTCCCAGGTATATATGTGCGATATCAATAATAAATACACCTCCGCCCACTGCCACCTGGCGGAGTACGAAGAATCAAACATGCAGCATGACACGCCCCCAGCATCATCGCCCACTGTCTCCTCGCTCTCCCTGCGACAGTTTTTGCTCCATCTGCTTGGCCAATGCCTGCGGCACCGCTTCCTGTGTCGCGCGGATCGTGATTCGATACATCTAAGTCATACAGTCAGCTCTTACTCCTTGCACTCTTTGACAGGGAAACAACTTACCGATCTCTCATAGTTGGGCTCCAGTCGCAGGAGACAGCCCGTCTTGCCCTCAGCAAACTGGTACACCGCGCAGCCTACAATGTTCTTCGGATTCGGATCCACGTTGTCCAGGATCTTCCACCCAAAGCCTTCCACCACTCGTCGTGTAAACGCCTCTCCGATTTCCTTGTGTCGCGCCGTAACGCCAAATGTATTCTGTGCCTCCAGCGGGCCCCCACCAATCTGCCGCCAGCGCTTGAAGAAATCTTCCGCTGACAACGCCGACGGCTCCATGTATCGATGCATGAGAATAGGCAGCTGTAACGTGTACGCCTGAAGCGCTCCCGCAAGATATGAAATGCGGATCGTCGGCGCTTCCGTAAACGGCCCGCGCCCCTCAACCAAGAACGTCTGCTGCGTCTGACCCACGGCAGGCACTGATGGATCGGGAAGACTCTTCGTGTCAATTTTCAGGTTCGGTGCGGCCGGGTTATCCACCGTCGTGGTGAGGGACCCGATAGAGTAGGACGACTTGTTAGAGATGTATATCTTCACCACACCCATATGCCCCCGGTACTCGGAACGCAGGCCAACTTGAATCTGCGCATCCTCGAACAGCACACCTTCATCGCCAAAGTAGAGTCGGTTGTACCCGATATCCCAGTCCGGTGTGAGATGAGCCGCACTGGCCATGTTCGGCGGCGGACCTGATGGGGCGCTAAGATCCAGTCCTGCTAGGTCACCCGACGCCCCCGACGTGGCTGTCGTGCCATTGGCCCCGGTCTTGTGGCCATTGACGATGGTGGTGAAGCTACGCTTCAGTCCCGTATTCTGTGCCATGAGCACCTCTTGTTTGTCGGCGTTCGCATCCTTGCCGCCTACAACCCATGTCTTCTTCTCTGTCGTGCCGGCCGTCTTCTGGTGCAGCCGAGAGAGCAGGATCGACGCGCGCTCCGAGAAGGGCGGCATCTCATCACACACCGTTCGCAGGAGATCATCGGTGGGAAGCGTCGCCAGCGACAGGTATTCAAAAGCACGCTGCTGCAATTCAGAATCGGGGGAGTGGCTATACAAACGGAATATGTGCAGAAGTTGGGGTTTAATCTCGGGGAAGAGGTTGACAAATTTGACAAAGGAGGAGAGGATCATGGCTCGTGTCGTGTCGGTGCTGGTGATCATCTTCGCTTGCAGCGCCAGGAACTGCTCAATGGGACTGGAGCCTTGATTGTCGGCGATCAGATGGCCAAATTCACCCAGAACATAACATCCGATCTTTACCAAGCTCTCGTGACAATCAGTCTTCAGATATCCAAGCAGGTTGTGTGCTGCATAAGCCTGCAACTCTTCGTTGTTGGTCACGATCTGGATAACTCGTTGCCACACTTCCTCGTTGACGTGATCTCCAGCCAGCGACAAGAGCTTGAGGGTCATGTCAATATACCACTGCGCGTCGGTAGCATACTTCTCAGTGAGAATAGCGACCTTCAGCACCATCTCCTCGCGGATGGCATAGTCGGCCGTCTGAAGGTAGCGCAGTAGCTCGTTCACAATCGGACCGGCGTTTGTGGTGTCACACATACTATAGACCAAATCCAGACCTTTGCGTCGAACACTGATATCGCGGTCCCGGAGCGATCCGAGAATGATGTTTTGGTGCTTTTTGATAGGATCTAGAGTCTCGGCCCGAGCCGCGAAATGCGTCATGGCTTCCAACCCCAAGTACCGCACATTCGTCTCTCGCGACTGAATGTATTTTCCAAGACGTGCAGATATTTGCAACATAAGGCTGTGCTCGGTATCAAGGTGGATGAGGAGGTTGATCGCCTCAAAAAGAACGGCATTTTGGGCGTTGTTCTGCTGGACATTCTTCGGTGCATCCATGGCCAAGTTCATGATCTGCTGCAAAGACTCGCGGATAATCTCGCGGACATGGCTATCCTCTGTTCACTTGTTTAGTGGTGCACATAGAGCCGATGATGATACATGAAAGGCATACCTGACGGGGGATAGTACTGCAGCAACCGCAACAGCTTGACCTGGATCCAAGGACATGGCACACGGTAGTAAAGGTAGTCGGAGGCAATGTCGTTATCCACCACTATCCTTTTCAGGCGATGTGCGGCCTTGACGTAGCAACCTTTGTACTCGTCGGGTTTATCCTGGGCCAATGCCATTACAAGCGAGGTGACCGAAAGCGTAACACCCATATCGGGATCATCCATCAAGGAGATTATCCGCTCCGCCCAAGCGTTCTGTACAATGTCGGGGAACTTGCGATACAATCGAAGGAGAGTCAGCGCAGCCTTCTTCTTGACGAAGGCCTTGGAGGTACTAGATCCCGGTCAGCCAGACATGCAAAAAGCCGACAACAGAAGGACCGTAGAGGCACTCACGGGCTAATCAGGAGCCGATGGACATCTGTCGAAAGCGCTTCGCCCATTTCTCTTCCACCGACGTTCGCAACCGCGTGCAAGGCCAGACAGTTGTTCAGCTCATTGTGATCTAACAGGTCCTTCCGTATGCTGTTGACAACCAGGTGGAGCAGTTCATGCTGCTCGTGTAAAAAGAGAGTGACCGCCAGGTAACCGATCTGCTTTTCGGAGTATTTGTTGGAAGAAATAAGGTTCACGGCCTCCAGGTGACCGAAGTCGACGTCGTAGCCTTGAATATACACGTAGAGCAACTTGCAGACGTATTTCTTCTTCTGATAACCATTTAGACTGCCGCCCTTGAACTTCTGCCGAATGTTGGCCAATTCCTTGTTCACTCGCTTCTCTTCGAGTTCGCGCGCTCTTGCATTTCGCAAGTCGGCGATGAACTGAACCAAGCCTCGCATAGACGACATGTTGACCGATGTAGCATATGGTGTGACAAGAATTAAAGATCAATTATTAGAGTGGGAAATCGAATCGTGAGGTGTCGGATCTATCGTTCCTGAACTTCACGGTGTCATGTAAGCGCAAACACCACGCTAGTGAAATTCCTCCGAATGAGTGTATGTCATACAATCATGTCCAGTCCCTCCTTTCGGGTTGTTCGTTGTCAATTCCGCTTTAGTGGCTATGGTGCATGGAGCATGGCGCAAGGGCAATGGTGAGCCAAATGGAGGAGCCGAGATCTGGAGGGGGGGGGTGGCCTTTCGGAGAACGCGCAACAGGGGGGAGGGTGGGACAGACAGTCGAATCGCGAATCGAGGGGTAGGTGGGACTGTCTAGGGAGTTGGAAGAGCAGAAAGATGGTGAGAAGCCGGTAGATGGCTCCGATCAGAACGTCGAGCTCTATGGGACAGGGACAAGCAGAGACGTAGAGGCAGTCCGGCAGCGGAAAGGAGGGAGAACGAGACCCTTTTGGCCCAGGAGGGAAAGCTGCCTCAGCCACTTCCGCGGGCGATCCGGCGGAGATCGGGATTAATGTTGTTGCGCTGTGGCGGTGCACATGTCAACCCCGTTTATAGAATAGGAGCTGCAGCTTATCATTCTGATGGAAAAAAGAAGGCAAAGTATTGTTTCTTCCAGATTTCTATACTTGTTAATTGATTAATTTCCTATCTTTACTACTACGACTGTGACGTTAACTTCAAACGCCCATCACGCCCGAGTTGTATTTGAACTCAGGGGGATGGTTCCTGATCTATAGGAACCTTATCGGATTCAAGGCACTGCGATCGGGTGGGGGTACTGCAGCAAAGACATCACTCCGCAGACTGATGAATTCCTTCCTCCCTGCCATTTTCACTTCCGTTCTTGGCTTTAATCAGACTTGTTCCTCTTGCATGTCGATGAGATCAATCGCCATGCTACGGAGGACGAAGTCAGTAAATCTTTTAGGGACACTCCTCCACTCATCTCCCCACTAACATCGGGTTTCAGACAGTCGTCGCATTAGGTATAATTCTAAGATACAATTCGACTCTTCGGCACTAATACTGCGTAATCTCTCGCTTCCCCTTGAGAATAGCCCATGGCAATGCAAAATAACCCAGAATCAAACACCCACGCAACCATGAAGCCGGTCAATCTCAGCCTCCCGAAAACTCCGTAATGAACACCGATCACCCCATGGAACATGCAATTCAGTAACGGCCAAGAACAATTTGATCATCAATTTCCACACAAAGGTGCAGGAGTGGATTTTAAGCCCGAGTGGTGAAGTCAGTCTCAAGACCAACAGCAGCGTCAATAGCGCTGGCCTTCTCACAGGTGCAAGAAGCTAAAGTCTTTGTTAGCTCAGATTCCTCTCGGAAGTACACACTCAGGACTTACTGGAAGACCTCTTGCCACATGGGCAGGCTGCTCCCGTCACCGGGTGGTTCTCAGTTGCCGAACGTTCACAGGTACATTCTCCGGCAGGACGAGCTCCTGGCGATGATGTTAGCGAGTGGTCCGCAGAAGCACCAGACTCGAATGATTATCTGTCTCAAGTCTGATTGAACAGGGAGGGAACGACTTACTGCAAGAGCATCGGGCGCCGCTCACGGTGTTCTCGGTCGAAGCCTTGTTGCACGTGCAGTGGAGGGCGTTCTGCTTGCCGCAGGAGCACTTGGCCTGGGCAGCGCAGACACAGCTGCCATCACCAGAGGTCTTGCAGCAGGTGGAGGAAGGGTGGACCATTTTGACTGGATGTTGGTTTGACTGGGGAGAAGTAAGGCGACGGAGACCCGGTGTTGTATAGAGGGATAATATATGACGTAATCAAGGACGGAGCGGAGACTAAGTATCAATCCTTCCAAGGATGCACGAAGAACGTTTGCGATCAAATATAGCACGAAAAGTATCTGATAGAGAGAAGCGATTCAGATGAAATCCAAGGCAGAGAAAGATCCGGATGATTTATTCTGAAGAATTGAAGACGATGGGGTTGTAGCAGGAATTTATACTTGCCACAATCGACTTCTGCTGAACAGCGGATCGGGCGCGATTAGCAATGTCCGCGCTCTGATTGGCCCGGACGGGGACGATCGCGGACTGCTGACCATCTCGAAGCATCAGACATTGCCTTTCGCCCTCTTCTGATTCGATAATGCAACCCAGTATGGATCGATGGTCGGCAAGACAGATCGCTTGCGTTTGTAATCTACGAGCGTAGAGTGGTGGTAGCATGATTGCTTACTTTCCAGTTCTCCTGCAATCCTGAGCGCTGTCATTGGATCATCTGCCTCCATCAGAAGAAGCACCGCAACATGATAGAAGCGCACGCTCATTGGTCGCTGTAGAACTATTATGGTACAGAATGATATCACCCAGTTGGCACAGCATACTCACTTTGTTGTTCAAGTTTCCCCCCCCCCCCCCCCCCCCCCCCCCCCCCCCCCCCCCCCCCCCCCCCCCCCCCCCCCCCCCCCCCCCCCCCCCCCCCCCCCCCCCCCGCACCCCCCCCCCCCCCCCCCCCCCGGGCACTAGGCAATCAATCACCCAGCCAGTGGGTGTCCCAAACTCCCATCGATGGTCGATCCGGGAACAAGCACCGACTGCTGGATCGACGCGGGAGCGACGGTATATCTCCCGAGCAGTCGAATGTAGACTCTCTGCGGCGCTTACTAAGACCTGAATGTATAAGGCTACAGTAGTCACGGGGGTAGCTAAGGGTGGAGACGAAATACCAGAAAGGCAGACTTTGAGAATGCAACGTTTGCCGGCTGTTGCCAGTAGCTTGTATAACCTTTTAAAAATTATCAACTAGAATTTAATATCCATGTACAGGTGTAAACCGACGGCAACCTCCTTGGCCCCTCCCAAAAAAATAAACACAAGCTAGGTGGGCAGTAAGACCGGAGAAAAAAAAAAAAAAAAAAGAAAGAAACAGCAAAGGAATGCAAGCAGCCCGCCTAGAAGAATCCAAAATAAGAGAAGATTGGAGAGAAAACAGGCTGAAATCAGACGCCACTAATGACCCGCCCAAGAAAAGCTGATTTTGGAAGATACATGCATTTTTCCGCCTCCGAGATAATATAAAATGCAAGGGAAGAGGAAGCGGCTGAGAAAGAAAAGTCGCAAGGATAGGAAGGAGAAAAGAGATTAGGAGATGATAGTCTGGCTCCTTTAATGGGGTCAAAGCCAGGAGCCAAAAGGAATGTAAGTGTCCGCAGCCGATTATATGAGGATGGATTTCCGCAAGGATTATGGGATGTACTGCGGTCGAAGAATGGTATGGGGCTTCCATTTCCACAGAAACCCTGCATTATAGGTAATTCGCGTATTCGAAAGTTTGGCCGCCAAACTTGGCCCTGGCTGGGTCTATTAGCTGTGGAGGATGGTTCATTCGGTCTTCGGCGGAGGTCGTAACGGCTCCCGGAGTGGTATCGGAAGGAAATGAGGCGGGAAGGCTCATGCTGGAAGCATTGGCTTGCGAGTATGGCATTGCGTGGCTGATGCCGTATGGATGATGGTCGTATGAGTAGGATCGGTAGTCAGGCGCATCTGAGACTGGCACGGATTGTAGAGCAGGCATCTGCCGTCCATGTTGCTGTAAATGAGAGTTTATTTCCATGCCACCATATCCCTTAGGAGCTGGCATGGCCAAGGAAGAATGATAGTTAGGTATTTGCTGGTCTGATGCCGAGAAATGTCAGTTCACTACTCATCATGGCTCTAGAGCAATAACATACGGTGACTATCCACGTTGTAGTGGATTGACTGATCGGGTGGACCCGTGGGTGACACGGAGCCCTCTAGCGCCCGCTGATGATCGTATCCAACGACCATGCCGTTAGCTGGCCGACCCAATGCATAGTCAACTGGACGGCGACCATACGCCATGCTGGGATGGCTCAATGGCTCCACTCCAGGCCTCGAAAAGCGCCCTGGGAAATTGAGCCCGCTATTGAAGGAGGACTCAGAGAAGCTGCTCGATCTGGGAAATGGGAAAGCACTGCGGTTATGTCGGTGTAGGTCTGACAGTGCAGGCCCTCCTCTCCCGGGCATGACTCCAGGTTGAGCATAGCTTTCAAAATGCCTGTCTGCAGCCGCTGAGAAACCGTTTGTTGTTGAAGCTGAACTCAAAGGGGATATAACATAGTCATCATCATTGAGTCGGGGCAGGCCATCTGTGAGTAACATCTTGAAGGAGTTAGAAGCAGGATTACGTGTCAGAAGGGTCCGGGGAGACGCAACTGGTGCCTCTGCTGGTGTTTTATGGTCGAAAGGAGTGCGTAGCACTTGAGTGGTATCGAAATCGTCGGGTAGCGCTCGAGATTTCAGGATACGCTCTCGGTCGTTGCTGGTAAGCCGCTTGAGTTTGGCTCGTCTGCCACATATGTGTTAGTGATCATGTATCGAGTGGCCTCTGGAAATGTAAAATGTGGGTAATACCTATTCTGGAACCAAACCTGGACCTGCCGTGGCGTCAGACCGGGGATCTCTTTCGACAGTCGTTCTCGGTGGGCGGCATCGGGATGTGCCTGACGTGTGAATTCACTCATCAGGAATCGAGTTTGGTTGTGAGTAAGTCTACAGTGAAGCGTTAGCGTGAAACACAGGCTCTGATGAAATCAACCATTTGCTTACCGAAAACGCTTCATCTTTTTCTTCTCACTTTTAGAATCTGAGGACTGTTTCTTGTCACCGCCTATTGACGATCCTGCTCCATCATCCGAGGAGAGCATGTCGGCGTCACCATCATCCTTCTCCTTTTCATGCTGCACTGTAGCTTCCCTTTCCTTTTTCTCCGGCGTCGTTTGGGTTGTAACCCGAGGACTGGCTGTCTCTTGGGGCCTTGGAAGCTGAAGTTCGTCGTGACCGTGCTTCTCCAACTTCACACGGGAAGCATCGCCATTCGTCTCTGTGTGTCGATTCTCACGATTGTCGACAGACGCGGGCCCTGTAGAGCGCTGTACCGGGCTCGATATATTCGGCGGAGCCGCAGCTGTGAAGGCATTTTCAGCCTTGAGCACAAGTGGTTGCATACCGGTAGTAGATGGCTTGGTTGGCTCGCCTTCCTTTTCCCACGACCCGGGCAGCCTGGACGGCAGGGCCCTCGGTCTTGACGATGCTTGCTCACTGTTCCAGGAAGCTGTCGACCAATGATTTGTTATGGCGGGCAAATGAGAAGTGGAAGGTGGCGACAACGAGGACAACCAGACACACGGTCCGCTGATTGACATGATAGAAGTAGAAGTCTGCTATCCTCAAGAGTATCACAACGAGGCAGGTCTAGTGCAGGTAGGTCCGAAAGGACAGAAAGATCCGGTGCACCGCTGTATAAAACTGACTATGGATAGAAGCTGCGACCAGGATCGCAGCCAAGGGAGAGTAGGGTGGGTCTGCACGAGCAGTCGGGGCGCTTGCTGAAGAAGCGCAGGATCTCCGAGCCGTGGACCGCGAGATGAAAGACGGAGGGAAGCAGAGAATAAGAACCCGTTGGCCGGTCCTCTGCGGAAACTTAGGGAGTACGGAGTAAGGAGACAGAGAACAGATGGACACAAGGCAGGGTTGGCTGTGCTGATAGTAGTGAGGGTTGTGGACAAGCCGCCACAGATGAACCACGCTGCTCTCCGACTTTAGACTGTTCCCCTTGACTTGCCCCCCGAAACGATAAAGGAGAATCTCGGCCACCGCTGGGACCAACGACGAACGGCAAGAAATGAAGGTCGATCCCTTTGCTGGGTCCTGGGATACGGCCGGGGCGGGGGGGAGGGATACACTACCGGACGGTGGGTAGAAGGTTATAGAGCAGATTAACCCGTGCTTAGCCCAAGCCGGAAACAAAAGCACGATCACGGTAATGGAAATAACGCAGGGCGTTAGACAAACGAAAGGCCTTCGTCACAGCCAACCAGAGATCCACTTTCAGGTTGGCCACCAAAAGAAAACAACACCACAATCACCGTCGTCGTCGTCTTCGGGCTAAAGATGCAGCAGAAGGGCACACGACGGAAGGGTTCGTCGGTGGATGAGTGTCGGACCTCTGGAGGAACGAATGGCCTTCAGTCCTGGATACAGGGTGTATTGGCCAACGATAGGCAGATGCTTGATGCTAACGCGGAGGAACAAACTCAAAAAAAAGAGTGTGTGGGAAATTGAGGGGGGAAATAAAAATAAAATAAAATAAATAAAAACGAATAGAGAGAAATAAGATAAAGGAACGAGCGTCAGAAAACAGGAAATTGGATTGAACGGGCCACAGCTTAGATGTTCGGTACACGAAGATCTGGCACCATACTACAAGTGTCAACCCAACTTAATTCCCCAGAGGTAGGTAGGTGTACATCTGGCTCAGAGCCGAAAGGGAGTGAGGGAGAGAGAGAGAACGAGAGAGCAATGGAAATAATGGGAAGAAGGAAACGGGGATCGGAGATGTTTCCAGGTTTGACCAGCTCCCAGCCCAGTGCCCTAGTAGATCGCAGGACGACTAGTAGTGTACCCCTCTGGGCTAGACAGCAGAACCAGCAGTAGTAGTATGCCCGGAGGTTGTCATCGGACGGACTGGCCAACGAAGGTGCTTATGATCACCACGCCTTTTTGAGACCAGGAGGTGGTCCGCAGCTTGAACGTCACGGAGGGGGTTGAGAAGACTGTGAGCTGTGCCTTACAATTCGATAGGGGTTTGAACCACGGTTGCGAAGCCGCGTTCGATCTGATATGGAGGACAGACGGGAGGAGAAGAAAGGAAAATTGAAATAAAATGGAAAATAAAATAAAATAAAACAAATAAAATAAAAATCAAAAATCAAAAATCGAAATTCGAAATTCGAAATTCGAAACAAATCAAAATGAATAAAATTAAGGTGGAAGACGGGAAGAGATCGAGGATGGCATGTGCAGTGGGTATCATGGATGGAAAGGACAGCAACATCACGGTACATCATTAAAATAAAAGTGGCGAACTGATAATCCACAAGAGGCCAAACCGACTCGGACAAACCTGAATAACAGCCCTGTACACGGTAATTCAGAGGCTAGACAAGAGGACCAGCTCGTGATCGTTCATGAGCGAGTTGCTTCTTCAGTCCAGGTAACGGGTAAATCTCTCATGCATGGAGTGGACGAAACAACCATCGACCGTTTCCAGTAATCTCCATCCGGCATACTCTATTGCTCGTAAATTTTCCGACGTGGAACCGGCAACCCCGTCCGCGGTCCATTGCATCCCACCGTGCGGGTCAGTGGGAGTCTGGGACGCTGAGATTTCCCTAGCTCAGAATCCGCAAACCAGCGTGTGCTTGTCAGCCAACCGCGGCCTCTCAAGGGGCAATACTGCCTATTACTGAATACTAGACCCTGGTCGCCGGGCTGGAGCCTGTCCTGAGTCATCCGAGACAACCGTCCCTGCTACAGAAGCGGCGGCAGTAGGCACACCATGTGGGAGACTTAGTCTACCGACAGCACTAGTCGGGCGTTGGCTCCATAATCCGCCGGACACCGGTCATGGATCGAGGCAGACGGATTAGGTTCGGAGCCACTTAGCGAACTATCCGCCACCAGCCAGGGAAGACGTTCAGGTGATTTGTTGGAGATGCATGGGAGTCCGAGCTGACGGATGAGCCTTTAAGGAGCCAAGAAAGATAAACAGGGGTCAGGGATTTAAATTGAAAGGGGTGTTGAGTTTGAACAACACAATTAAAGGTAATAAAGTCCAGGAACAACCCTCCTTCAACAGGGGCAAACGACGTAGACTGGCGCAAAGTGGCTATGGTGGAGGCCGGCAGCCATGGAGTGATAACAGCTCCTCTCTTCATGGGACCGATTTGCATGATCCTGGATAGCGTAGCTGTCACCCATCCTAGGTGCTGACATGGATCAGACAGATGATGATGATAGTAGTAGTAATAGTGGCATGTCTGTACGGAGTAATTGCTACACAGGTCAGGAAGTGCATTTCCGTCGGTCCCACTGCGCCAAACGGACGGGCAGGACAGAGTACCGACGAAGTACAAACTTCGTAAACATGGTACGTGGAGTTGTCGAAGGGATGACTATCTTGTGTTGGCAGTCCAAGGACTGGCAAATGGGGCTGACCTGGTTCGACGGCCTCTTTAACCCAAGGAAGCTTAGACAGGGAAGAAGAGAGGAGAGGGGGAGAAGGGGGGGGGGGTGGAAGAGGAGAGAGGTATTGTTGGGTGGGTGAAAGGATGGATGGATAGGCAGGGTTTGCGGAGAAACCGATGAATATTGTCTCCGAGAATTCGAACCTTTCGCGGCCGAAGTAGAAGCGGTACGGCGAATTGCAGCAGCAGTCGCGCCGTAGTGGTTAGCGCCAGTGGACTGGCTAGAGACTAGCGTGGCTGTTAGGATCCTGAGGAACGAGGCTGGAATGCACCGGAACGCCAGTCAGGGCCACCAGGCGGACCTTGCACCAGGCGAGCTGAACGGACTTTGAACCGAGCGTGACGCTAAAAGCCTTGCAGTCAACGGTTGTCGACCGTGGCGGATTTCATGTGCCCTCTCCACCGGCAGAAGAAAAGAGGGGTGGAAATTCTGGGAAAGAGACAGACGGATTGGAAGTGGGAGGCCCTCCTACTCCACTTCAGACGCTTGTATGAAACAACCCGGGTGATATTCGGCAGGGAAAAGGGAAAAGAAAATCACTGAGGGAGGAAGGTATAGAAAGTACCTACCTAGTCGGGACTTACTTTTAGGAACAAGAAGTAATGGAAGGGGGGACAGAGTAGCATCTATACAGATGATCCGAGCGGGGGGTGGGCGATGGAAGACCGAAGGAAGATGGGAGGAGGAGGAAGTCGGTTCAGTTTTTTGGGTGGGAAAAAGCAAGTGGTGAACTTCCACAGGCTGGCTGGCTGCAGGGAAGTGGAAGGAGAAGGAGCGATGGGTGGGGTCACGGGCGAATGAGACGGCAGAACAATGTGACCCGAGTACCTTGGTCTAACTGAAAGTAGATTGGTATAGATACTCTTACTAGTAAGTACCTGCTAGTAACTAAGTAGTAGTATTGTACTGGCTGGCTGTACTGGAGGTATCTCCCAGGATTTACTACTACTAGTCTACTATTACTACAGTTACTGATAGGTGTTCAGTACTACCACCAAGGAACCTATCTGCAACTTACCTAGGCAGTATAGTGAACCTTCCATGAATGAACAGGGTAAAAAGGGGATCCAAGTATTCGTAATTTTTACCTAAAATGGCTCTAGAGCTGTGACTATGTTTCTGTTAGATTCTGTGGGGAAAAGGAAAATTTGAAGAAATTGCAAAAGACACCTAATTAATCATTTTTTGATTGATTAGATGGACGACGACAGGAACTGAGACGGGAACATATTGCACTAGATATTAGGAATATTCTGATCGAGTCCTTATCATGATCATGTCTGCCGCAGGTACGGAGGATACTCTCCTCCGATCAATTACAAGGAATTACCAGAAAAGATTAAATAAATATAATCCATCTAGCCAATAGGCTGCTTGATCGGAAGGTGATCAAAAGAAATGACAAAATTGGAGGAGGGGAAAAGACTAAGGAAGAAAGAAAGACAAAAAGGCACCACCGCAGGGACAGGGACAAGACGGCCATTGAATGATTCCGACAGGTGGAAATCTCCACTGGTGGGTCGACGGGGTGCGCAACCAAGTCCGTCTTTACTAGCCTTAACTACTTACCACTTCCTACAAAGTAGTACTCTTACTAAAGAGTAAGGATGGATACAATCAGCAGGGCGTCTGCCGCCTTCATTGGCCCAAGGTAATTTCGCCGATAATCAGACAATCAACAATGGATCATTATCATCCAGATGAAGGGTGACTGGTGGAATTCCAACTGAAGTTGTTCTGACTTGCTTCATTCATTTCAATTGCCTTCTGCAGGCGCTTTACTAGTACGTAGTATCGGAGCCCTGTAGTGCCACCTGCCTCGGTAGATAAGAGTATTCACAAGATACGGAGCAACTACTAAAAACCAGGAAAAACACAGCCTGGCGAACAGTTGGTTGTGTTTTACTTCAAAATGCAAAATGCACTCTTGAATCTACCGATTTCAATGGATTGGTGATTCATTTAGGATATTATATAGCTGGCTGCTGATTGAGCATCAAACCCTCCAATGACCTAGAATTTACTACCACGCAGCAGAGTAGTCTCGGAAGGTTTCAATCCGATATGATCGTTAGGTTATCCTGGCTTATGCCGATCAATGACGCACGTTTTATAGGCATCGGCTACGTAGAGGGAATATCTACAAGACTCAGCAGACAGGTTCCTATAGGGAAAGTACGGAGTACGCCGGAGTATTTGATACATCGACATCTGCAAGGCGTGCATGATGCATTCATGAATCAGATTCAGTACCGACCTGGTCGCAACGATAGGTCAAAGCTGAGAGGATAACAATTGGTGTGGTAGCCAATTAGATACTTGGGATGTTGCAAAAACATAATTGAGTGGAAGAAAAAAGAAAAGCAAAAAGGAATTATTTTCTCAACATTAATCAGTGACCAAGGAAATCCAATCTTTTGGGACCCAAAGAAGCGGGGGCGAAAGGGAAATGAGCAGAAGCGATCTTAGTAGGGAACAATAATAGGGCTGTATTGAAACAAGAAAAATCAGCAGATTAGTGCGCTTGTCATGAGTAAGTAGATAGTACGCAGTACTAAGTCTACAACGTAGATGTCTGGCAGCAAGTGTATCAGGTCCTGCTTTGTCTCAAACGAGACACGGCATAAGGCGATGCCTCCCCTGACTCTGGGAATACTGAACGCTGGACTATGAACTGACGCAAGCAAAACTGAAAGGCCCAGATAATGTGAATCAGATCCCGCGCGATGGTTTGCCCGTGGAAAAAGTATTATGCCTGGAAGGCAGGGTTTGCTCCTGCTTTCGTGGGCATCGACTAAAAAGCAGGCTGTGTGGAAAGAGTGCGTCGTCGTGTTTCAACCCCAACCTTAGATAGGAAAGACCGAGGCTTAGGGATCCAGAGTGTAATTTCTTCTTTCTGTCGGAGCTCGCTTGAGAGTTCGGCCGCATCCTATAGCATCATCAAATCTGGCTTGTTCATGACGATGATTCGGCCGGCCGGGCCTGCATCATGCATTACCCTCTCCGAAATTTCGCTTTCCCTCTTTACTGTTCTCAATCAACTCTGGCCCTTTTCTCCTACTGGCTTAACTGCGAAGGACCGATCTGCTGGACCCTCAGCTCCTGCTGGCTGGATAGTGGATCCCTCGCGATTCTGCGATCTCGAAGTCCTATTATTCACAGTAGGCTTTCGAATTAGCATCTCGGGAAAGACCTGGTGTGGATAATCCATGGCATGATCCTTCAGCTCAGCACGGGAGCCGCCACCCACTGCGGTAGCGAAAGGTTGAGACTGGAGGGGGGAAGAAGAGGGCCATCGTGGGCAGTGGATCGAAGCTCCAGAAGAGGATCCAGCTGAGCCCGTCTCTGAGCCATGAGCCTTTTCACCTTTTTCGACGTGTAGCAAGCTGGCAACGGTGCGGGGAAAGAAGATCCCAAAGCAAATCGCGGCCGATCGAGCGAACCGAGTGGATGCGAGGAGATTGGGGAGGACCAACTTTAATTTCTCTCCCAAGGCTTTTCAAGTCATGAAAAACGCCATCGCGGGCCCCTTCAATTTTACCTGGAGCACCGACAAGAGGGCTTCCCAAATCACGGGAGTTAATAATGATCATATTATTGTTATCGATCGTGAAGGATGGGCGCCAGATGGAACGAAGGGAAGGAGGAGCAGATAGACTAGTCTCCTCTCCAACTTGGGCTAGTGACCATTCTAGGAACGGCGGTGGATAAGCGCCAATGCCTTCCATTACGCAAGCCTCGCGGGGGCCGCCGTCAACAAGTTTCGAATACCACGCACAAATTAAAATTAACTTAAGACATTGTATGGCTGGAGTGGATAGGAACGGCTGGGTTGACCTGGGTCGGCTCGCCATGCTCACTCATCTCATGGTAATTATCTACTTTGCCGTTTCGTGAGGTCGGAAAGTTGCAACAATGGCATTCATTAACCACAATGATGATGGCAGCAGTTCAACAGCGAGCAGGAGACAACGACGACGACAACAACACCAACAAAAACAATAATAATCAACTCTCCAGTACAATTGCATGACTCGGGTCGCTACCGGGATCCATACCCTAGTCTAATCGAAGCCAGGTTCCGGAAGCCATCCATACTTTTCCATGGCTCCAGCGCATCTGGTCCGTGCGGGTCATTATCGGCTTTAACATGAAACATCGTTTACAACGGGATTCCATGGGACCGTTCATGGGGCCTCCTTGGTCATCTCACTGTCTTCGATAAGTCCATGTGCCCAATTCCTCTCAACTCCCTTCACCCCCCTGAGACATACGCGTATTGGACTTGCAATCTAGTACGGAGATAGATGGTACTCATATTAATGAAGTGAAGAGTTCATCCACACAATGACAGAAAAGGGGGCTGGAAAAGGGGAAGCATGGGAAAGTGACAATGAAACCGAGAGACACTGAACACACGTACGATCGGTAACGATGTCGTGGATATGAAATCATGACTCTCAGGGCCGTGATCCGGTCAGTATTTTGACGTCTATGCTCCAGCCATCATCGATCTGGCAGCTCTCACTCGGTAGAACCAGATCCTTGATCCCGGCAAGCCAAGCAGCGGTTATTTTGCTTTATCCGATCATCATCAACCAGTCGGGGTCATCTACTAGTCACTACTCGGTAACTATCTTCTGAGCCGTAGCTGCTGGGTTACTGTGGTATCGCACCGGCCACCAGTACGCTATTTACCCAGTAGTTGCACATCGATCACGACTACTTCTCTAGTCTATACTACACTAGGCAATAAACATACATCGCCTGGTCTGTGGATGTCCCTGGGGTCCGACTGAAAAAAGATGATCGGCCTCACGATCCGTCCAGAAGGACCCTGACGACAAGTCATACACCTAGCCCTTCCCCCAACTGGGCCTCCTCTAATTTTACTAATTGGAGCCAAATGGATAGGTCGTCTTCACACTTGATTGCATTATTGCTCTTTGAAACTTAAGGCAGCATCCTATATGCGCGCACTGGCCCCAGCCATGACACTGCAATCTCGCATGACAGGTTTTTCTCGGGGAAATCCCAACTCCATCCGCGAACCCACAGCGCTGTCAAGCCGTCGTGCACTCCTGTCTCGAACAACAGGACCGAGCTTGATGAGATTATGCAGGAACTCCCCAGTGCAATTAAAGTTGTTGATCAAGGAGGGTTTTGTCCCCTCATAGCTTAAAGCTCTGGGTCACAATCGTCTAAAGGGGTTCTTTCATTATTCAGTACGCTGACTACCCTGAGCACCCGAGGAGGACCCGATGTGGCCACTTGCAGTTGTGCACGCAAATTTGCACGCGCCCTTACTCGAAAGCGTCAGAGGAATCCCCAGTTGCGGCTGCGGTGGATGCCCGGTGACCTTCAATTTCCGGTGGACGACGCTATCAGGCAGTCCCCAGCTTCCCACCTCTTCTTCACCCCCTCCCCTTAATATGCTGGCCGGTTCTGTGCAACACTTGCACCCATCAACGTATCCAGAACACCCCTGAACTATGAAGAATGCAAACAGCAAAGAGGGGAGTGAAGGGGGCTATGCGATGGCCCCGCATGCAGACACAGAAAGGAGGGGCAGGAAAAGACAGCAGGGACAAGAAAGGAAAAGTAGGCGCGAAGGGGCCAACCATAGACGGATGCTGTCCTCGTTGTCGCCACAGACTAGGAGGAATATCTCGAAAGAGGATAGGGTGAGAGTTGGTACCGCTGACTATGAGTGGCTGCTGATGGTCGCAACCAAGTAGGTCCTTGGTGTCTCCTAGTAGAATGACGAAGTCAGGACGGTTGCATGCCAGCCTCAGGACCAGGCGCCGCAGGAGGCCAATCAATCCGACCATCATCCCCGCCGTAATCTCCCAGTTACCCCCTCGTGACTACCACCGCCTTCCTCCCATCCACCTGATCGCACCGTTCATGGCCTCATACTTCTTTCTGACTGGCACTAGGCCAAAGCAATGCAAACGCACTGGCTAAACCTGCAGTGGCTCAGGCAGCCAAGGTGCCTGCAAGGCATCTCTCTTAGTGTCGTGATTCGGTTGCATATACCCAGGACTACCATGGATCACTAACTGCATTGGTTCCAACGCAGGACCGTGTGTGACCCGATCGTCAGAAAGCGTCAGCTAAAAGCCAATCATAATCATGTTCATTGCCCCAGTCACTGCTTTTCATAGAGCGCTAAGTGGCGTTCTTCACATCGTTTGGTTGTTCTGGGGCAGCTGCTTCCACCGAATTAGCTGAAGCCTGTTCAGTGGCAATAGCGGAATTTTCATTTTCGGTGCTGGCAGCTCCATGCTCTTGCCCATGCCCAGTGGACTCGCTTCCCGCTGGTGGCTTCTCCGAGGCTTGAGGTGTACCTTCTAGAGCCTGCGGTGTACCGTCTGACTGCTGGGGGGTCTCGAACAGAATCTTCAGGTTTTTGCCGTCCTCAATCTTCTCAAACTCAGCAAGCTTGCTTTTCGCAGACAGCCGTAGTATGCGCCAGGTTTTGCTCGATTTTGACCGCATGGCATATTCTCTATCCTCTTTCGTCTGTGCGGTGTCAATATCTAACTCGTCGTCCATGATACCCATCATCAAGGAATCGGCAGCAGGGACGGAGAATCTTACGCCGCGTCAGCCCACCGCTAGCGGATAATTCTATGGTTTTGGGGCACCTACCTTTCCGGATCCTTGAGTCTTTCCAGCCCTGCCAGCGATTCACCCTCGGAGAGAAACTTCAGGTCAAGTGACCCCATGGGAGAGGTACGGAGGCGCTTGTTTGCATAGACCTTTGTGGCATGCTCACGAGCGCCTAGGTATTCCGATACAGAAACGGGCGGCCTCTCGATCAACGGACAACCTTCTGCTTTCCAGCGCACCCAGTTCTTGTCCCTTGAAAGAACAGTATCCACCATACGGTAGTAGAATTTACCACCAATACCTTCCTGAAGATATTCCTCGATCGCCTTCCTCATCTTGACAGCCCATTTGGCCTGCTATCATTAGCATTCGTCCTCAACAACGGAACAGCACAAAACAGAGCCTTACGTCATCGTCATGCAATACAAATCCGTAAAGGACAGACTTGTTGGTCAAATCAGCTAGCTTGGCTTTTGCCTTTGGCGTAAGAGAAAGCATGAAATCAAGAAGGATGAGAGCCTGGACAAGTACATGTCTCCTGAATGCTGTGTCATTGACCTGCGATGATGTATTAGTGGACGGTTCGAAGGACTTGGATAAGCGTCACGTACCTCGAGGTCGAACAAATCCCTGCTTGTCAGGTACTTAGGATTGAAGCTGCTCGCGATCTCCTGTCCATCGGTAGTCCGCTTCCGCTTGGTGGACTTTCGAATCTCCTCCGACATTTTGCTGTTGCTCGAGTTCTCGAGGTCTGTGTCCACATTCTTGAAAGCAGAAAGGGTCGCTTCCAGCCCGGTCTTGAATTTGGCAAAATGTTGAGGATCAAACGTCTTGGTCGGAGCAGAGAAGTAAGCCTGCAGGCCCCAGAACATGGGGTACAGATCATCAAGATCCACACCCTTATCCTGAGATTCGTCTTTACTGCTAGGAACGACCACCCGTGGGGTTTTTGGAGGTTCTTGCGCGGGGGTGTGGGATTCGCTCGCAGAGGTTGTTTGAGCTTCACTGTCCTCCTTCAGGCCTTCGGTTGCTGTTGGTGCCTCTTGTTCATCTGACATCTCCACATCCGCATCGGCGACATCCTTTGCGGCAGCCTTGGTAAGTTCATCGTATGTAGTAACATTATCCGTATGGTATTCACCCCGGAGGTTGACAGCACTCTTATCACCGAGGGGGAAGCTCTGGAAGAGGAAGATGAACACGCGCCCGCAGAAGACTGTATCTTCAGCCCGCGAGAGCCGGCGCAGTAACTCGTTGCAGGACCGTAGGATAATTAAGCTCTTTTGCTTGAAATGTTTCTGGGGTGGTGTCAACATATGCGACGTAGGAGATGATGGCCCAACCAGCAAACCTACCTTAGTATTCCGCTCTCTTCGTGATTCTAGATAATCGAACACTTTCCGACAGCCGTCAATGGTTTGGCTGTCAAGTAACTCCTCGCTCAGCCAGAATATTAAGCCGGGCTCACACTGCTCTGCGAAGATGTCAGGGCACCATTCGTAACCAATCAAGCCACCAAAAACCAACCATTATCTGAGAATATTGAAATGATATCGAGTAGATTCCATATGCGGATGAACGAAGGGTCCTCGATCGAAGTAGAAGCCTGCGGCTCAATTCCTGATTAGCCATACTCTTACTTCTGCGACGTTGTTGTAGGATTCGGGATTTGGCTGTTGGGAGGTGATATCATACAAGAAGACTGTAGAACTTCTCCCGGAATGCAATTTCTACAGCAGCAAACTGAGTCTGCTGGCTGAGGCCCTTTGCCAGCTGTTCATCGTCCCCCTGAATGAGCCAAATGGAATCACCGAGCTGCGATTCCGTCAGAGGGGGTTCGATGTGATTGTCCGGTTTGGCACGTTCTGCGCGGTTTAGGAGATCGTCAATCAACCTCCTGTAGGCGTGAATCGCGCCGACATCGACGTCCGCCATGCTTTAGAGCCACAGGACAGAATAAAATGTCGTTGCGAGCGTAGAGAGAGAAAAGGAGGATTGAGTGTTAGAGTGAAGGGGAAGAAAGCAAGCAGGCTGCGGCTCTGCGGGTTCTAGCCGCCGGAGGTTTAACTAAGGAAACTAACAGTATCGACCGACACGCGCGCGCCAGAAGCTTTCCCAATCCCGCCGCCCGCCACGGACCACTTGCGCAGATAAATCGGATCCGCGCCCCCGGAGTCTCTTCAAGCAATCCTCCCCAACGTCTCGGAATGGGCCTACAAACTCGTCAGGCAATGGCGCAGGGCCTTGACTCCAGACCGACTGTGGAGGACTTCCGCGAAGACAGCGCATGGGTGCGGTTAGCCAAATCCTACTGGCTTGACGGTTCCAAGGCCCGCAAAGTCAAGCAGGATGTCCTTAAAAAGGACCTCTGGGATCCCCTTGAGGCTGAGAATTTCAGTTTCCGGTCGCTTCTGACGCTAGAGAATCTCAATATTCTGGAAAAGTGCGCATCTCCCGCAATGCTTCTTCGGCCCTCTCCTCTACGACAATGCCTAACTCGCGAACAGGTTTCTTTGGCCGACTTACACGGAGGATGCCTCGAACTACCATGTGCTCCTTCTCGCCTTGATTGTGAGCGTCAAGCAGCGAGAGCATCTACCGATATGGGGTATGTGAATGGTTTGCACTACTGTGACAATCTGAATTGCTGATGAAAGATCAGATATCTTCTCTGATCGACCGGCGGATTTCTCCAATCTTTTCCACCGTATCCTTTCAATGAGCGTCGATCCCTCTCTCGGAACTTCTTCACGGTTGTCGATAGTTTCTTTCATCATTAGCGCCTTTCAGTCCGTCGAGAATCCGTTGATACGCAAAGAGTGTGCACCACTGGTCTCGATCTCCATCTGGCACAACCTGTCGAGCGAGGAGGCAAGAGATCGCTTATTGGCAAGGAGTTCTGGATTGAAGAAAGCATGGAGGGCCGCAGGCAAGCGGTACGATGCAGGGGATGACGCAAACAAGGCCAAGATGCGCTTTGAGCGATCGTGGCTGTACACCATGCTTTTGGATTTCTTCCGGAGATTGAATGGGCCCGAAAGAGAGCAGGCGGATAATCTGCGATACTGCGAGCGACTACTTGAATTTCTTGTGGATCTAGAAAGCCAGCCTCCAACCAGGCGCTATGTGAACACGCTCTTGAAAGACCTCAACTTCCTGTCCGTCATCCGCCTGTCGCAACTGTACCGCTCTGCAGACAGCGCGCTATTCCGTGATCTTTGTGGTCTTCTGGAGCATTTCAGCGCTTTTGCAATCGATGACTTCACTGGAGAGGCTCTATCTCCCCAGGCTATCTACGATGCCCACTGTCAGGAGTTGGCACGTCTTCAAAGAACCTCTATGAAGTATTTCAAGGACAAGCTGATGATATTGGCTCTTTCCAATTATGGATCGATTGAACAACGCTCTGAACTCGAAGGTCAATTAGCTACCTTGGAAGAATCCGAGCTTCGAGATTTGTGCTCGCATCTTGGTTTCCGTACGGACTATCCGAAACAGTCTCAAATAACGCCGGATCGCCATCTGTACATGGAGGTTCTCTTGTCTTTCTATGAAAAGAAGACGACATTCCAGGAAGCTGCCTCCCAGCTCAGCATTGTTCCCACCGAAGAAAATCTCTACGACCCTACTTTGCTCCGCAACGAGACATATGATGGATCCAGGCCGCTTGCAATTCCCAAGTTAAACCTTCAGTATCTGAGCACCGGTGACTTCTTGTGGCGCTCCTTCTTGCTCTATCGGTCGGAGGCATTCTTCCAGATTCGCAAGGATATGGAGTCGATCGTCAAACGCATGCAACCTCGTGCAAGCCGGGACGGCAAGACATTGAACTTCGACGGTTTCTCAAGGATGGCCATCCCCATTACAAAGCCTGCCATCATTGAAGTGGCGCCTCCCAAGGTTGGTTCGGCAAAGCCTGCGTTCGTCAGGGCTGAAATAGCTATCGAAGTGGGTAGACTGGCCGACCACATCCGGATGGAGTGGGAATCACTTCGTCCAGATGACGTGGTCTTCTTGTTGGCTGTACAGTCAGATGATGCAGGGAAGCCCGGCTTTCGAGAACCTGAGACCCCTGGCCTCAAGTATCTTAGAACAGCAGAAATTGTGCAAGTGCTCGATGAGAACGGTCGTCCATTACGCGAACCAGTGTCAGGCCAAGCAAACGGGCACAGATACAGGCCGCGTGTGCGGAAGTTATTGGTCAACCTGGACTCGGCTGCCTTCAAAGCAGACAAAGACGGTCTTGCGCGAGGAAAGCCGGATGTCTATCCGTTGATCAATGTGGTGGCGAGACGGAAGGGGCGAGAGAATAACTTCAAGTCCATTCTTGAGACGATGCAGAAACTCATTGTCTCGGATATCACCCTTCCCTCCTGGATTCAGGATATCTTTTTGGGTTACGGAGATCCGGCTGGTGCTCAATACACTCAGCTGCCTAATCGATTGAAGTCAGTTGATTTCCGGGACACATTCTTGGATTGGCAGCATCTCATTGAGAGCTTGCCCGGTTCAACCATAGAACCATCCAAGGAGGAGACATCAAGCTTTGGTCCCCCGTACGTACTTGAGTACGTTGAAGAGCCTTCTAAAGCACCTTCAGCGGAAACGTCGAAGAAGCGACGGAGGGAACAGGCCGAGAGAGAAGCAGGACCCAAATCTCTTCGCGTCTCGACATACAAGCCACCCAACCCAGGCCCGTATCCAATTGACGCGCCCAAACTTAATACCGTCCGATTCACCCCAGCGCAGGTGGAAGCCATTGCTTCAGGCACTCAACCAGGGCTGACCGTTATCGTCGGGCCTCCTGGAACAGGAAAAACGGATGTTGCGACGCAGATCATCAATAACATCTATCATGATTTCCCCAATGAACGCACGCTACTTATCGCACACAGCAATCAAGCACTGAACCAGCTTTTCCAGAAGATTGTCGCATTGGACATTGACGAACGTCATCTTCTTCGTCTTGGTCATGGTGAAGAGGAGCTGGAGACTGAAACCAGCTACAGCAAATACGGACGCGTAGAATCTTTCCTTGAGAATCGCAATCATTTCCTCGGCGAGGTCATTCGGCTAGCAGCATCCATTGGAGCACAGGGTGCCCATGGCAATTCGTGCGAAACTGCCGGGTATTTCAACACCGTCTACATCCAACCTGCGTGGGCCAAGTTCTGGGATCAGGCTCGCAGTGAAAGCGCTTCGACCGAAGATATCGTCGCGGCTTTCCCATTCCATACATACTTTGCCAATGCGCCTCAGCCCGTTTTTGATGCGACGGCGACAAAGGAGACCCTCCTTGACGTGGCTGAGGGATGCCAGCGGCACATTGACAAGATCTTTTCCGAGCTAGAGGACATCCGTCCATTCGAAATCCTGCGTCAGCCCAAGGATAAGGCCAATTATCTACTTGTGAAGGAGGCAAGAATTATTGCAATGACTTCGACGCATGCTGCTATGCGTCGCCAGGAAATCGCCGATCTCGGTTTCCATTATGACAATGTGATCATGGAAGAGGCGGCCCAGATCACGGAGATCGAGAGCTTCATCCCCGCCGCCCTGCAGAATATGAAGAATGGCGAGCTTCCTCTGAAGCGAGTAGTTCTTTGCGGTGACCACCTCCAGAATTCTCCCATCATCCAGAACATGGCTTTCCGGCAATACGCCCACTTCGAGCAAAGTCTGTTCCTCCGACTAGTGAGGCTGGGCGTCCCTGTTATTACACTGGACCAGCAGGGCCGCGCGAGACCCAGCATCGCTGAACTCTTCCGGTGGCGTTATAAGCAACTTGGAAACCTACCTGCCGTTGAGACGGCGCCAGAGTTCAAGCAAGCCAACTCCGGTTTTCAGTATGATTACCAGTTCATCAACGTGCCTGACTACCAGGGCACCGGAGAACGTGAACCCACTCCCCACTTCATCCAGAATCTGGGAGAGGCCGAGTGTGCCGTTGCCATCTACCAGTACATGCGCCTCCTTGGGTACCCAGCCTCCAAGATATCCATCCTTGCCACGTATGCAGGCCAAACGGCATTGATTAAGGATGTCTTGAATCACCGCTGTGCCAAGAACGGACTATTTGGCATGCCCAAGATCGTCACGACGGTGGACAAGTATCAAGGTGAACAAAATGACTGTAAGTCTTTCCAAAGAAAAAAACCAGCTCCGTCAAAGGAAACCCTACTAATTCGTACCTCAACCTAGACGTCATTCTATCTCTCACCCGGACACGCACCGTCGGCTACCTCCGTGACGTCCGTCGTCTAACTGTTGCTCTTTCCCGTGCGCGTCTTGGTCTGTACATCCTCGGTCGTCGCGAGGTCTTCGAGTCATGCTACGAGCTCAAGCCCGCGTTCGACCTTCTCTTCCAACGCCCAGACAAGCTTATGCTTGCCCCGGGCGAGATGTTCCCGTCTGCTCGCTCCCTGGATGACGAAGTCCAAGGCACTCCGATGGAAAGCGTCGAGCATCTCGGCCAGTATGTTTTCGAGATGACACAGGCGAAGATCAAGGCCATGGGTGGAGAAAACGCTATTAGCAATGAGATGGATATGGGAGGCGATGGGGAGGTCGTGATGGATGAGGATGAAGTCATGCTAGGGGCTGGGGAGGAGGGCGATGATGATCCTTTGCACGAACATACTTTTACTTGAGCGTGATCTGTATCTTGTTGTTCTGTTGTTTCTCTCCTGGCCCGGTCATCCTGGACGTGTGTATGCATGCCACATGCTCTTCTCCTCTTTTTTTTTATTAAAACTACCGAGAACCCCGATTTTATCCAATTCTGAGAAAAAGTCATCTGAATGGGCTTTGGATGGTCGGGCTACTATTTGAATGATTGAATGGTTGTGATGAGGCTTCTTATTTCTATAATCTATGCTACTGCATCTGTGCGTTGGTAGATTTGCCTGGTAGTAGCAGGGTCAGTACTATTATAGAAGAAGAGCCTGTAGAATTGGCTATGTAGTATCGCTTTATATATATACAAAATCTCTATACCCCGTTCTAATCCATGTGCTCTATCGTGTCCGGCCGAAGAAGAGGCTAGTAGTTGCTATAATAGCTAACAAAAAGCTCGCCTGAGTCGACACACCTGACATGTGTAGTAGTAACTACCTAAGATGACGAGGACTCGAGCTTGTTGATCTCCTCAACGATGTTCTGAGGGTCTTTCCATGCGAGAGCGACAAATCTGATAGGAAATCAGTCCATTGGTTTTCTTCTGAGGGCAAAAAGAATATATATTTGTATGCGTATACTTACTTGGTGTGGCTTCCTCTGGCGAAGACTTCTCCTTTAGTGTTGGCGAATTTAATCGACGTGTATGCAAGGGTCTTGCCAACTGCAGATGACTGTAAGTATATGCAGCGTATCAAGTGTGTTCAGGGAACCTACATTTATCACAGCTGACTTCCTGTTACACATGCAGTGGGTTAGCCTGGACATGCTTTTCCCCTCTATTGTCATGACTACAGAGAGAGAGAGAGAGAGAGGGAGGGAGGGAGGGAGAGAAACATGAAAAACCTACCGCTAGGATCCTGTCTCCTACTTTACCACCAGAACTGAGATACGTCACTGTATGATTCATTAGGGGTCTTCGGTGAAAGTAGAAGCTGCTATCTGCTCACCGTTCAGGTCAGTCGAGACGCCTGTCGCGAACAAACCACGAGAAGCAACAGCTAGGGAGCCACCAAGGTCCACTTTGTATTAATTCATGTTAGCAAGGACATTCAATGTGAGACGGTGTTGGCATGTGGCCCACCCATGCTGGCAATGGTGCCGCCATGGAGGATGTTCAGGCGGTTCTGATGATTGTCAGTTACCAAGTAACCATTTTCGAATCTCTGGCTTACCGTGTGCTCCTTCTTGATATCGAGTTCAAAGTTGACTAACCCAGGTTTGGCAGCAGTCACACGAAGCTGGCGCGATAGGCTCGAATGTTAGTATAGTGTTCCGAAGCGTTTAGCCGGTATCGACGGGTGTCCCCGGGACCGATAGAGTGAAGCTTCAGCCGTAAGGTGAATCCATTGAAGAGATTCCGGGAATATGATGGTTGTATATTCCAACTCGAGAAGCTTACATTGTCTAGTAGACTAGATAACCATCCCATGCATTCCCATCAGTGATTTGAATCCAGGACAGGCATGAAGGAAGCACTCTTTCTTCTATCACTTACCGAGGCTCTAGCCCCGAAGTAGCCCGAAAGGACTCCCAAACCTGCGGATTTTGTGAGTACAGGCATAAGATCAAAGTAGAGTACAACACAGGGTATGTAACTTACAGAGCGAACAAAACGCAAGGTAGTCATCTTCAAAGCAACGGAAATTGAGGCAGCGGTGAGAGTTGACTGTTAAGTAGATATGAGTAGAGTATTGTTTAAAGTGAGATCATCGGCAGCCGATTGATTGCGCTTGGGGCATGTTTGGCGCGCCGGAGATGCTCCGCTTTGGGGCCGATCGTCTCCAACTTTCAAATCCCAAGCGTTGGTTGGTTTCTTCTTTGGCTTCAGCTCCAACGCCCCCATTTCTTTCCCGCCGCATCATGCTGCAGCGGTGACTCCTGCCGACAAGATGGCTGCCGCACCATCTTCTCGTCCCTTTGAATACCTCGAAAGCCTTGCTGGCACTGTCTTCTACAAACTTTACCAGCAGCCATCAACGGCTCTCGCCATTTTCAGGCGCATGCTGCCTGATCTGGGTATGTGTCGCATGTGCATTCACCACTCCGGTGCTTCATCAACTAACTGCCTGACTAGCAAAATGCTTTGTCATGGCACTTCTCTACCTAAAGGATCCGCTCCCCGCGGCGGATCTGGAGGCTTGGGTTAAATCGGAGAGCTTGAAGTAAGTGCGGGTCAAGCACCCTGGGGAGATTTCCGCAGTGATTGTGATTAACGTGAGCCTCACACAGAGAACGCGACAATGCACTCTCCATCCTAGGAAGATTGCATATTTTATCCAACACTGTTACGGCGGATAATGTCCGCGCCTACAAAGTCACCGATCCCTTCGCCACTTCATTGCGACACGCTCTCACCGGCGCCGACCAAACACAATCTTTTGGCGTCCTTTCACAAGTGCCTGCTGGCTCGGAAGTCTCGATCCCCGAACTTGATGAGTATGCGCGACGACAGTGGGAAGGAGTGCTGGGATACATGGTCGGTACTGGAGGCATGGGAGGTCCCCAAGTGACCCTCAGCAAAGGCGTGAAGGAGCTCCTGCAGGCGGGTCATCTGGTCGAGATCCGAGATCGTCGTGTCGAAATCACCCAGGATGGGTTTGCCTTTGTTCTGCAAGATGTCAGCACGCAGGTGTGGCATATCTTGATTCTTTACGTCGAGAGCGCCAGCGCCATCAAGATGGACAGTGTCGAAGTCCTCTCGTTCGTGTTCCTTCTCAGCAGTCTCGAACTCGGAAAATCATATGAAAAGAACCATCTCAGTTCGAAACAACTGCGCATGCTGACCGACCTTGCCGACTTTGGTATCGTCTATCAAGAATCGCCCGATGCACCGCGTTTCTACCCCACCCGTCTTGCAACCACCCTCACGTCCGACTCCAGCGCCTTGAGCAACCCACTCTTGGGTTCCCTCTCCGGTCCTGCCGGCGAAGCCTCCAGCAAAGCGGGTACTGGCTTCATCATTATCGAAACAAATTACCGTGTATACGCATACACCTCGTCTCCCCTACAGATCTCCCTGATTGCTCTGTTCACCACACTGAAATACCGCTTCCCCAACCTCATCACCGGCAAAATCACCCGCCAGTCCGTCCGCCGGGCCGTCGAGATGGGCATCACCGCCGACCAAATCATCTCCTATCTCTCTACTCACGCCCACCCGCAAATGCGCAAGCACAACGTCTCCCGCTCGACCTCAAACCAGGCCGGGATCCCCCCGTCAGTCCTCCCGCCAACCGTGGTGGACCAGATTCGTCTCTGGCAGCTGGAGCGGGACCGTGTCAAAGCTACGTCCGGATTCCTTTTCAAGGACTTTGTCAGTCTGGCAGAATACGAGGCCCCATGTCGCTATGCAGAAGAAATCGGTGTTCTGGCATGGAAGTCGGATCGCAAACGCATGTTCTTCGTGACGAGGCATGAACAAGTGGCTGCGTTCTTAAGGAGCCGGAAATAAGTCGAGGGTTCATCGACCCCACCAAAAGGTGTTGGCTGAAATGGATTATTGGGCTGAAAAAAGGAATTAATTATTACTGCAACTTTTGGCTTCTTGCGTTGCATAGAGGTGCGGCAGCTTGGCGTTCTGGTTTCTCGGGACATTTCATGAAACTGATGATATATAACCCACCCCAATTCGGAGAATGCGATTGTGTGGTGACGGCTTACAAACTGTATAATAGCTGGGAAACTCAAAATAGAAGAAAAGGAAGTGTGACATCCAAATGAAATAGACAAGGATCATCAATAATGATATTGTAACTATCTGTCCGTCCATAGCACAAGCACAGCAAGGTCACAACGCATCATATATACTAATACAATAACACAACCCCTCAACATCATGGCCTCTCCACCAGCAATGATCTAAAAACCCCAACTATAACTGGGTTACTACTCCCTAAAACGCTGACCACAAGGTCCATGTGCCGCCTTAAACGCCAGCCCAAACGCCCTAAAACTCCGCGTCGCGTCTTCTGACTCACATGCATCCTCCAGCATCATAAATGCCCTCCTGAACCTCCCCGTAGTCCCCCTATCCGACCCAGCAAGAGCCGCTACACGCTGAGAATACCCATGTCTCGACACGGTCAGCGAGAATACACTTGGTGGACGAATGCCGGTCACGGGATCCGGTGCATCAAATAAGTCTGCATAAAGTATGGCGTTGAGAACGGTCATGAGTCGTCCAAGCCAGAATGCATATGATTGGGCTCCGTATATTGGTTCGAGGCGTGTACGTGGCGGTGTGTTTTGTGCTGTGGTAGTGGATGTTAAGGTTCTTTGGGGGAGTCGTGATGGGAAAGGGGAGGAGCGACGGTGATGTTGCAGTGGTGGTGCTAGTTGTTTGGGCTGTGGTGGAGGTAGTGTTCTTCTTCTGCCTCCTCTGCTGGATGCTGCTGGGTGAGGGACAATGGGTCTTGGGAGGTGTGAAGGGAACGGGGTCGGACGGCGCCCGGTGGTGGAGGTCGGGGTGGTGTCTGGATTGGGATGGGCTGGAGGTTGGGGGGTGGTGCTTGTGCTTGGGCTTTCTCTTTCTCTTTCGTGTTGGTCTCTGCCTTCAGCTTGAGGTTGCATTTCTGATAGTATAGTTCTTATAGTTGTGTATGTGTAGTTGGTGGTGGTGTTGTAGCTTTTGGAGGTATGGGGATAGAAATAGTTGAATTGGATCTACTTTTTGAAGGGTTTGACAATTATTTGGGTCATATTGATGCTGTTGAGTATAGAAGATCCATTATCTGGTCGAGAAACTATTATTTGATACCGTTTTCCTCGTCAATGAACGTGTTGTGTCTGGGCGAACTTCCCTGGAATCGAACCACAGATCGATCAGTAACCGTCATCGCCTGAAGTGAAGGAGGACCAGAGTCACTCTCACCTGCCCTTTTAGTGTAAGCGCAGAGGATATGTTTGCTCTCATTTGTTTGTATCTCTTTCACACCGTAGGGATCCTAGATAAGAAGCGAGTGGGTATATGGGTGTATAGACTGAAGCATGGCATATATGGATTTTAGGATCAAAGGGGTGCAAATGAAGCAAACTGTTTTCTTTGACTCCTGTTGTCTCAATTGACTTGTGTTCAATGCCAATCGATGTTTCCAGAAAGAAGGCTGGATAGAGGTGATTTGATATAGCGAGACTCCAGGTGATACACACTTCTGACATGATTCGGGGCTATCAATTTGACATTTTCCTGAGTGGGAAGCAGCAGTTTCTTCCTACTAAGACTTGCCACAATTGAAGATGTGCCTGCCTGATCAGGCACTGCTTCAGGATATTCAACCTTGAGAACTTCACAGATGGAGGTAAAACTCAAAAGTCATTTCTATCTAGAAGTATTTGCTAAAATTTTGCAAGAGAACTCCTGTCATACCAGCTCCAGGCTCTTCAAACATCAATCGCGTTCACTCCAGGATCCCCATTATCACATCCATGATAGTACTCTACGCTGACCAGACAGCCATTCTCATAGTGCTTGCTGTCACACTTTCTACACCCGCCAATTTTGCGGATATCCTGATAGGCCTCCCACATCTCATCGTCAGTAATCGTACAGCCCTTGCTGTTCTCGTCCTTACCGCGGATCTTCACCGAGCAGCCGAACTGCTCCCAGTTGGCCCAACAGTTACCAGACAGCTCGAGGGCCTCTGCATTAGCAGTGTAGAGCGTCGGGCCACGCGTCATCTGGTTGACGGCCTTGTCGCACCACTTGATATTCAATGTACTGCAGAGCGTCTCGCCTTTACAGTCGTACGGTGCCTTGCCCGTGCAGTAGGCCCCGCTGCTGAGGGTGGCGTCATCCCAGGTACTGGGGCATGGGTGGAAGACGTTGGTCAGGGGCCTATGTGCCTCAACGACAAAGTAGTTCGTGTCGATAGTATCAGATCCGTTGGGAAGCTCCCACGTCCAGGTGTAGCAACTCCGAGAGACGGGGACAGTGCCCATCGAGGACCATGCACAGGGAAAGTTGGTCTGTCCGGCCGGCAACTCGGCACCAGTGTATTTGAACAGAGTTTTGCTTTCAACCATGTAGTGTATGCAGATGTAATGGCCGAGATTGTAGTTGATAGGCCACGCCGGCATTTCGCAGGCGGTGTCTGGGTCGGTTAAGAAAAGCACTGGAAAGCAAAGGAATTGGGATGTCGGCCTGGACCGTAGTTTTTGTAGCGGTCGAGCTGGCCTTCACGTTGGTGACGTGCTGGTTGTCCGGTAATCCAAGCGTCGTTGCCTCTACCGAGTTTGAATCACCCGACGCGCTGCCCCCAGACCCGATAGCCCTCGCGGTGAAGGTAATGGAGGTACCGTGATCAATGTTGCCGATGGTAACCTTGGTCATGCTGCCCGGTAGACGGGCCACTTCTTTTCCATTCTGATAGATCGAGTACGCATAGGGAGCACGGGAACTAGCTCCCCAGCTTAGACTCACGAAGGAGTAATCTGAGGCGGTCACTGCTAATGAGCCGGGAGCAGATGCAGACTGGCCGTTCTTTTCATACGCGGTGGAATTGTAAATGGCCGGTTTGTCACCTCCAAGGGCGCTCATGATGGTCTGCATGTAGTCATCGTCAGGGAGGGAGTCGTACGGACTGGGGATGTTGTCGTTGGTGATATGGATCAAGCCAGCTCCGCGCTCCAGGGCCAGCTCAGCAACCTTGCCCACACTGTCTGATGGGACATTGTAGATAATGTGCCAGAGCTTAAGCGGATCGCTATGTGTCCAGTCAGGGCTCGGTGAGTAGTTTTTCATGTACGTATCGTAGCTGTTCTCGAAAGTCATGAGTGTGTCGGCGCTGTTGATTATTGTTAGCTAAACCTTCTTATGTTTTGAGAAAGGTGACCGGCTACATACCTATGCTTGAAGCACTGTGGCATCGTAGCTCCTGGATTGAGGACGGTAAAAGCGGCTGGGTGCATGGCTTCGTATAGTCTTTTCTTTGCCGCCTTGATGACGCTGTCCAAGCTCTTGCTAGAGGCATCTCCATTAATGAGACTTTTTGTATGTTCCGCCGATCTCGAAGCTCCCGAGCTGGGTTGATGCTAGCTGCTGAACTGAGACATAGCTATAGACGAGGTGGCCAACTGAAACACATAGTATAAGTACGCTTGCAGTGCCTGTGAAGCTCGCTAGTTCTGTCCGCTGACCTTCGGAGACTTCCAACCGCCAAATTTGTAAAACATGTCATTCTTCTTTCTCACCAGGTACAATATAGCACCATATCATGGCCTTGGAAGAAAGTAATGGCAATACCTGTTTGACTCATAGACACTGCAAGTAGATCGACAAATAATAGTGGCGATCTTCTGACACTCTGTCAGAGTGCCAATTCTCGTCTGCTACACCACGGGCCCACTACTAGACATCAAAAGACCACATGAGACCCGCTTAAACATCCTGTAGGTAGATTAGATAATGAAATCCATCGTTTGGAGGGTACAGGGCGCGATCTCGCATATCGTAGACATCGGACTCGTTGAACCATGGAAAAGGAATTCCCGAGAAGGACCCGAAATTAGAGCCCGACTCTGACAGGGCCAAAGCTTGTGCAGTCCCAATTGATAGTAATTCAAAAGTCCACGGATAAGGTAAAACACAGAATAGATAGTTTGATCTAGTCTGATTGACAGTCCAGTTCCTGAGCTAGTGTTACCCTAGACCCCATATCCATCCAGCTATCCCATCTAATGCCAAGGACTGCAACTCAGCACTACAATCGCGAAACTACCTTAGAGCATATAGCACTCCAAGTCTCTTTATAAGAAAGATGCTGATGATCCACCGTTCGCAGAAATTAGTTTGCAGTATGGGGGCAATCTAGAAGTGGATCAAACTTTTCTGCTGTAAAGTGGCTTTCTTCGCATGGTGTGTCCTTTTAAAAGCGATGTCTGGAGATCCAATAACTAGTATAGGGTTGGCACTGTTAATTATCTCAAGATGAAGGGGATCCTTAGATTGGAGATCAAGATAGTGACTCAGATTAAGTAAACCTTCATTATTGTGGGAGGTAAACAGACTGATCCTTGTACGGATGCTAAAGGGGCGAGTAAATGCATGACTGCCTGTCGATTTCTTCCTGGGCTTTTCGTGACTGTGGTGCTAATCGATTCGTTCATAGGAAAAATTCGGATGCAGCACGTTCGTTCAGGAGTACAGCATTGAGGTTGTGGATGCCAACAAAGATTTCTGAGATTTCAATCTGAGTGAGATCGCGGGTGGCATCGAGAAGAGGAGCCAGATCCATTTATGCTACTCTCCTGATACAAGCAGCAACAGCAACAGCAAGAAATAAGGATTGATGGTCATGATATTTTTGGGTGGCTTTGAGCCACATGATCTAGTGACTCCAAATGTGTGGGCATTTGATCAAGGTTACCAGTCGCGCTTCCACTCGATTAAGTCGAGGTGGACTTCGGCTTGAGCACCTAGCTCCATGAACTGGTGCCTCAGTTCAGGGGGCCATTCCCCAATATTGGTGTCTATATAGTCGAACAATACAGAAATGCCACGAAGCTGGGGCGTGCAAGATTTCCAATCCCTCAGCCATGTCCGAAGCAAGGTCAAAACAGCAGTATCTGTCCATTCGTAGATCGGCCAATCACTATTATTATCACCACCGTCATTTTGTAGCCCCAGCTCATCCGTAATGGTTAGAAACTCGATATTCCTCGGGACCACGTCCTGCAATCTTTTCGTTGTGTCCTCAAAAAACCCCACGAGGAATGCCAGGGGAATCCGAAGTCTCTTGAGCTCGTCGAACTCTACCATTGCACGCAGCGAGCCCTGCATCTTAACAGCGGGATGGAACTGCTCATTGCCTCCGATTGGGGCATCAGCTGAGATTGTTAAATCCATTAGAGTGCCTCGAACACGAGATAATGCGGCCGCGATCCTATCAAGATCGACGGTAGGCGAAACGAAGTCATCCTCGACGCCATAGTCGTAATACCAGGCCCAGCGAAGGGTTTTGAGATATGGCATGACTGACAACAAGTCACCGAGGTAGGCTTCCCGTACTGCAGTCAAGTCAAGCGAGGTAAGTTTGGAAGGGTCAGGTAAGTGCGCTGCAGGCCATGTGAATACATCAGGGTTCTCAACAGTGACGGACATGCTTCGGACATTCGGGAGATAAAACAATGGCAAGACATTGGCGGTGTTCTTGGCTCTATCTTGGGGGGTCATTTTGGGCCTCGTGCCGTCGTCGCCCACAACACGGTGGAAAGACACATCTCGGAGATGCTGAAAGGTAGGTAGCCTATAATCCATAGGTCTGCATAAGGCTGAGTTGAGGATCATTCCGAGAACTTGATTTTGTCTAGTGTAAATCGGGCCCAAGTACAAGCACCTGAGATTTGAAAGTTGTGCTACCAGAAGGGCAAGGAGAGCATCAATCGTACCCTGGTGTAATTCACATATCCAGAGATCGCTGTAGGGCACCCCAGTCCCCTGGATGAATGCAGTGTATTCGGTCAACTCGGAACTGGAAATGAGTATTTTGGGAGGGCCTGCCGTCATCCGACCTTTGATATGCATGCCGTCCAAGTGAACATTTGTGATGTAAGTAGCCAATTGCGGCTTGCACGAGATCGTGTGTAAGAGTTGAGTGATCGGGGGAGGCGAAGAAGCTTCGCGCCAAAGCCACTGGATGTTTGCGTAGAGAAATGGCTCAACTCGGGCGCGCAGCTCTTTATTGACAATGCTAAGCACACGCAGTTCAGCCGGCGAAAGGATCTCGAAGATCAGGCCTAATACTTCAACCGGACAGCCCAGAATGCCAGATGCTACCTGGTGTTCGCACAGCATTGGGGCAAGTTTCACGATTCTTTCATGGATTTCGAAAGGAAAGAAGACTTGACCACTATTGCAGGAGAAAGTGTCAAGTATGAGGAGAGAAACTAGAACGTGAGAAAACCGATGCTCTTGTGATGCGAAACCCTGAGTAATAAACTCATGTCTGGAGCCCTAGCTGCTAGTCTAGCTAACTAGGTAGTCAATAGATGGAGTGGATGGACTTGGAGAGATTCACTCGATCCTCGCATTCCTGGCACACAGTTCATGCCTAAGGCAGACACCCATTGCGAATCTCTACTCGTTCCCCCATCAATGAAATTCATCTTATCTGTATTGACTTCCGAGTAGCTATTCGGTTTGCATTGTATTGTATTAATATTAGATGTATCTTATTTGTAACTAAGTTAAATACATGCATGTAGGCTTCATTGTTCAAGCCGGAATGATCTCCCAGCAGCTCCCAAAGAGAGAAGTGGGCGAGTCGATGAAGTTGGTCGGTCAATTCAATTTCAAGAAAGACTGCACTGCTGCGTTTCCAGGCTGCTTCTCCTCCTTCTCCTCCTTTTTGTCTGCATTCTGTGCCCGCAGGTTCTCAAATTTATTCGTTAACCGAACCCGCCTCGGCAGCGCCCTTAGATTCGATCTCGCCAACTCTGCTTCTGATGTGGGCGTTGTATCTGAATGATGATCGCGTGACTGCATTTGCAAGCCAAGACCAAGATTGTCCTCAATCTGTACCAATCGCAAGAACTGCTGTCTGTCTGTCCGGTGCTCTCCTGAGCATGATTGGGGCGCATCTGCAGAATGGGTGCTCAAAGGATCTGAGCTTGAGCTTGAGTCTGCATTTGCCTGCATCTCGGCTCTGCTATGTGACACCTCCTTCCGGCTCAATACCCGATTTGATGGTCGACTGGTAACCATCACTGGAAGCGACTTGCGAGCATTGTCTGGCTTGCTGCTACCATGGCCGCGCGTTGAAGCCGGAAGTACATTGGTTTTTCTTGTTTGGACTCGCTCACTGCTGTGGCCTCGCTGCGGGAGTGGTAAGCCTGATGGTTTCTGCTCCGATGCTCTGGTACTGCCATCATGCATGCTGCTGCTTCGACTGCATACTCCAGGACTATCCTCTGATGAACCAGACTTCGGATTCCCCCCCTCATACCGTTTTCCAGCAGCATGAGGGCCCCCCAAAGAGGAAAGCACACTCCGTCTCGCTTCATGTTGGTAGATCTCATGCGAATACAGATTCGAGGTCGGTGGTTTGACAGGAGTGGGAAGTCTAGAATAATTGGCATGATGAGCCTTTTCACTGGCAGCCTGGTGGGGGGCAGGGAGCGAGGATCCACGTAGGGTTAGAGATTGTCTTTCGTCCTCCTTGTAGGATACGGAGATCAATTCTTCATTACAGTCTCCAAGGCTTTCTTGTCCTTCCTCCTCTGCTTGAGTGGAAGGCTTTCCAGCATCTGTTGTGTCTGGAGGTAGCATCACTGCTCGCCTGATTCGTTCTCCACGTACAGAACGGAGCTTCTTGGTTGGTGTGGATGCCGATGAGCTGGTTTCTGTGGTAGATATTGATGTCTGGGGTGTGTTTGGTGGTTGAAGACAGGTCGATTCGCTGATCGTGCTTTTGCTAAGAGTGTCCTGGTTGCGGTTGCTGTGGCTGGCTTGGGTGTTCATGTTGCCTGAGCGGCTACGACGACCTCTAAATGCACATTTGAGAACTTGAAGAGAACTGGCAAGAAAGGATCTGCGAGTTACCCGATCAGGCATAATGTATGTCGTACGGCTTTGGATCTTGGGAAGGTGAGAACTGTGATTGACGAGTGTTGGAGACCAGCGTCATCTGCACTGCAAAGCACAGAAGATGGCTTACTGTGTTATGAGTTCTGAGCAGACTATAACAACTCGCGAAGTAGGAAAAGGGAGGCGCGTCGGCACTGTATTCACTTAGACACGGGATATCTTGTCTTCGAATTCACGTATTGATCCCGTGACCATGGAGCAATATCATCATCAGCATCCAAGAGACATGCAGGTGTGATGCTAAGCTCACTGGATAATAGATAAGGCTAGACTCTTAGATGTATGGATTAGTTAGGGCGCAAGAGCATCGAGGACGTGCGTTCATGCAACTTCGCTGCAGCCCTTTTGCTCACTACAAAGACCATATATCACTATCACTTCCTGAACAGCGTAATGCTAACAAGAGTGGATTAAGCCGGGAACTGGATAGAAAATCAGTTCCCCCATCTTTATAAAGTGGTTGACCCCTGCACGAAGGAAATTTCCCATCTCTGCCCAGTAAATCAAGGGTATGCATTGTCTATCCATGCATGCTAATACATATACATACAGATGCCAATTCATACAATGCCCATATTCATGCTCGACACCAAACACCGCATCAAGTCATCATGCCATGAGAGTAAATGGAGTGGACACCCGCTCTACTCCGAGTCACTGTCCACCACGAAGCCCGCGCGCATCCGTCTGCGATTTGCTGCTACAATTGGTGCGTCATCATCGTCTTCGTCCTGCGCCATTGCTTCATCGGGCCTGTTCGAGTCCTTGTCCTCATTCCCAGCAGAGCCCAACAGCTTCTCTCGATCCCGACTGAATACCAAATCGTCATCAAAATTGAAGCCATCGTCCTCTTCCCCGGATGGCGTGCCCTCTCTGTCCGACATAGGCGATGGAGCATCCATGTTTCCCATCACGACATCGTCGTCTTCGTCCACTTCGTCCGCCTGCTTCCCGCGTCGTTGCCGCTTGCTCTTGGCTTCACCTGTCCGGGTTCGAGTGGTTTGGCGCTTGCGTTGACCTTTCTTATTTGTCGAACCATCTCCGTCTTCGGTCATGCCGGTAAGTAGTGCATGCTTGATGCGCTTGGCTTGTTCTCTACGTCTCTGCTCCTCCAGGAGGAAGAATTCCTTGTCTCCTTCTTCGTCGGTGTCTTCGTCACTCGCGTGCACATACAGATCACTCTTGATCTTGGCGAGACGAGCTCGACTATTTTCCAAACGCGCTCGGCGACGCTCCTCCAAGGTCTCTTCATCCACCGAGTCATCCTCATCCTCATCATCCGGGTTACGTTCTTTGCGCTTCTTCTTCTTCTTCTTTGTTGGTTTATTGGCTGGATTCGGCGCTGCCCGAGGGTTCGGCGGGAACAAGGGCCCATCTGGTACCTCGTCCTCACCCTCTGAATCATCCCCAAACTGAATATCAGGGTTGTGTTGGTTGTCTGAGGCCGTTTTCCCACCACCGTATTTCCGTCGGATCAGCTCACGGGGGTCCCGTCCAAGTGTCCCTCGCTTAGCTTTCTCGAAGTACTTGTCGATGAATGACTTCATTTCCCGGAGATCCTGGGCCCTTGGGGCAGAGGGAATGATCCAGGCTGCCCCAGGCACGTCCTCTGCACCAAGCCGTTCAAACTTGACCAGTGTCATAAGAAGACGGAGCTTTGCGTTGGAGAACATGGCCTGTTGGCATGCATCGTCGCGCGCTTTCACAGCTACAGAAATGTTAGCTCATGGTTCAGAAATATGGGAATAACAACCTACAAATCATAGGGTTTGGGATTTTGGAACTCTCTGCACCCGCCTCGCGCAGGGCCTTCTCCTGGGTTTCCCAAGCCTCTCTTTCTTCAACTGCCGACCCCAACACATCGCTGACCCAAGTGACCAGATCTTCCTCCCCATCTAAGACCAATGCTGGCACCATGATGCTGATTTTTTCTTCAATTGTATGTGCCTGTCGGGGGTCGATCTCTAGTTCTGCTGGAGCCTTCCTGGCACGGGTGACTGTCTGCCGCTCGTGACCATATTCGAGGTAGAATGTAGTCGCGTTGATCTTACTGAACAGCAGCTCCACGAACAGGGCAGGCCGTTGGTCGAGCCTCTTCGTCAGTCGCCGGATAATCTGGCGCACGAATTCTTCCCACTCCTTAAAGATCGGTTTACTCGAATCCAAGGCGCCTGGGCCTTTAATCATACGGTAGAAAAGGTTGATGATATCGAGTCGGAAGAGCAGAACACTCAGTTCTTGCTTGAAAGCAATTCTGTAGAAGTAACGGTGGGCGCGTTTTAGCTGCTCAGTGTTCAGCTCCTTGTAGTGCTTGGTGAAAGCAACAAAAGTGTCAACGCATTTCTGATTGCAGAATTTGGCGGCAAACCGTCTGAAATCGAACTTGCGCTCTTTGGACACACGTTCTGCTTCCAAGCGGTCCTCATCTTCGGAGCCGTTCTCTTCATCATTCTCGTCATTGCCAGTACCTTCTACATCCTTGGCTTTGCGTCTGGCACGTCGCCGAGATCGCACTTGCATATCGAGGTTCTCCTTCGAATAACGCTCCAACATTCGCAAGAAGACATGGGTGAGTTCGGTGCACGCATCCAGATACCCAAACGGTTGATCCTTGTATCCACGAATGACAGCGAGGACCCGGTCATGGGTGGTTTCTTCGTAAAAGATACGGTTCTGGATGTTTTCAGCGATCTCTTGGTCCTCTTCGAGCGGAGACTGGGCCATGTCCTGCACGGTCAACAAGATCTGGGTGAAGCAGCGCATTCCAGCATTGAGATCCTCCCAATCTTTATTATCCAGCGCATACTGCATAGCGCGATTTAGAAAAACAAAGGTTTCTTGATTCAGGACACCCGCAACGAGACCAAAGCTATCGGGCTCCAGCTCCTTTGCCGGCTTCTCGCTCTCCGCATGCTTCTTGCGTTGGCGTGCCCGACGTGCGCGCTCCGCTTCGAGAAACCAAGCAGTAGTGTAAAGAAACTGGCGCGTGTTTATGTCCATGACGCGGTCTGCTTCACGTTCGATTGCCTTCCGTACATGGGTAAGAAGGGGGTTGAAGCCTGAGTCCAAAAACTCTTCCACGAACATCCGTAAGTTATTGGAGGCAGTCGAGTTTAGATGAACCGGAGTGCTGAAGTCATTGTGCACAGTCAAATCTTGTGGCTTTCGCCGAATTAGTGGCTTGTTCCACTTCTTGCTCTCGTCCATCTTTTGCAGGGTCGCCTGGCCGTCTTTGAGCACATTCTGCCCTGAGACGGTGGAATACTTGGCGTCATCACGCTTGACCCAGATCATAGTCCCAAAGCGTCCATGCCGAGTTGGTGCGTTCTTCGCGTACTCTCTTCGTAAAGACGACTCCTGGCGTAGCAGATCGTCTAGCTCGTCCGTCCGTTTGGCTGTTCGTTGCGCATCATCCATGAATAGCTTCTCCACACTAACACCCCGTATCAGATGGAACAGTATCTCGAGAAGAGCAACATCTTGCATGGTAAAGTCGTCGCCAACGTTGGAGCACATGGTCAGAAGGAGGGCGAAGACATCTTGATCTTGGAAGGCGTTGATGGTTGCGGATCTTGAGGTTTCCTCCTCATCGCCTTCCGCCGCGAGACGAGTATTGGGGGTTATCAAAGCGATATTCCGGAGGAGATAAAGCAGTAGTTTAAGAATACCTTCGTCGCGGGTCGTTCGCTCGGATCGTGGGATGGCCATGCTCGGAATGCCGACGCGGATTATAGTTCGAAGATAGCTAGTACTAGCATGACTCAGTAGGCCTCGCTTGTATGAAACGTGGACATGTTGTATGTATGGTATATGCCGATGATGGTTGATTGTCAATTCCCCGTGTAGTTCTACCGGCCATGTCAAGGGGACAAGCAGCTCTACTGCTCTCTGTTAGAGACAATCATCGCAATGGACTGTAGCATATAGCATCACTTACAGCATGCCAATGCGATCCTAGACATATACTTGGTTTGCTTCTTGCTGTTTGCCCAGACCGCCAGGATGGGTAACAAATCCCCGTTGACAAGATTGGCTTCTCCCAGGCACCGTGCCACATCCATCCGGTTGTGTTTCTCATCGTATAGCTTCAGCCATCGCTTGATATCCCGAAGACAGGCCAGGGCGTCGTCTCCCAGCACATACTTGTCTGCATCTTCGCCATTGAAACCACCCAACTATGAGCCAGTGATTAGCTGTGTTCCTATGCTATCATTTAGCAGAGGGTTTACTCACGGCAGTGACGAGACTATAGACATGGGCGCGGACATCCGGGTCCACGACCTGCACGTCCGGTGCAGACAGCACTGGTTCTTCGTTCTCCATGCTGGGTATGCACACCTTGTATCATTTCTCCTCACTATCATCCTCTGCTTGGTGACCCTGCGCGCGCACCCCTAAATTGGCCATCAACCAATAATGGCGCGTGATTCACGCGTCGACGTGTCACCGCCTTTGAAAGTCCCGGATAAACCTGGTAGCCGAGAAAGCCGCGGGTAGCCGATGACGTCGGATCACATGAGAATGGCCGAGGCCCGATGCATCTCCGTCTATTTACTATCTGGTTACTACTTCCCCCTCTTTGCTTGATCTGCTCCGTATCATTTATCGAGAGTCTTCGTGCCCAAATTGGCGATATGCTATTTTCATCATTGCGCTCTCTCTCTCACCGGGGCCCCTCACTGGCCTCGCGGGCCTTCAGCACCTTCCCCGCCGTCCATGCCGCCGAGGTTAAGTCGCTGGGTGTGATAGGAGCTGGGCAGATGGTCAGTGTGATCCTGACAATATGATGTTCCCTCCAGTGAGAGAAACAGGGCAACTAAGATTCTATAGGGATTAGGAATTGCTCTAGTAGCTGCCCAGAAAGCCCAAGTCCCGGTGACCCTAATCGACAACTCCCAAGCATCCATCGACAAGGGCCTCAAGTTTGCCGGTACACAGCACCCACTCTTCTTCTCTCCCTCACCATC